ACTAACACTCTGGAACGCGACACAGACTGGACCGGGCAGGCAACGGCCTGCCTGGCCCAAGACGACGACTCGGGACTTGACGACCGATGATGTCTTCACTTTGGAGTACAGTACAACAGCCTCGCTCTGCGTTCACACCACGCTTATATCTGCTTTGGCGTGGCCGGCTCCGCCCAGGCGTGGCTGGCTCCGCCCAGGCGTGGCTGGCTCTGTTCAGGCCACGCCTCCCTTCCCAGGCCACGCCTCTCTTCCCCCACCTCTGGGAAGGTCCGGATCCCTCCACCACGTGACCCCCCAGGCACCCCCTTGGGGCCCCCAGCCCTCGTACGGGCCAACACAGTAGTGACCGTTCTATGTCACTACACCTACATCAGCAACCGGGTGGAACGCATCAGGAGATCGACGCAGCCGGAGCAATGGAATTACGTTCCAACTGACCAGAATCCAGCAGATCTCGCAACTAGGTCCGTCCCTGCATCTCTGCTGAAGCAAACCATCTGGCTGACAGGTCCAGCATTCCTCTTACGACGTGACAGTGGCCCATGTACTACCAAAGAGACCTTTGGACTCATAGAGCCCGAGTCAGACAAGGAGATTCGGCCTCAAGTGACAACTTTCGTAACAAATGTGCGACCAAGAAGTCCACTGACTGCTTCCATTGCCCGATGAGAGGCACCACTGGTAGCTGCAATGGATGGCATCACTGCACAGTGCCACGCACTAAAGACGAGTTTTCCAGAGTAAGGAAATCAATCTTCCGCTGTGTGCAACAGGCAGATTATGCAAGTGAGATCAAGGCCATCAACAAGGGAGAACACCTTCCTAGGGTCAGCACCCTCAGGAAGCTAAACCCCAAAATGGACAAAGACGACTTGCTCAGGATCGGTGGTCGGCTAGGGAATGCAAAATTAGATGAGAATGAACGAAACCCCCTCATAATTCCAAGCCAAAGCTACATCGCAATCTTACTTGTACGCTACTACCACGAGAAGGTCAAGCACCAAGGTCGGCACTTCACAGAAGGAGCAATCCGATCTGCAGGGCTGTGGATCGTTGGAGCAAAGAGGTGCATCGCCAGCACAATCCACAAGTGTATCAGGTGTCGCAAGCTTTGTGGAAAACAGGAAGAACAGAAAATGGCAGACCTCCCAGCCGATCGACTCAGTGTGGAACCTCCCTTCACCTCTGTAGGGATCTACGTGTTCGGACCATGGACAGTCATCTCCCGCCGCACCAGAGGAGGGCTCGCGAACAGCAAACGTTGGGCAGTGCTGTTCAACTGTATGAGTACACGAGCAGTGCACATCGAAGTCATCGAGTCCATGGAGTCTTCAAGCTTTATAAATGCACTCCGGAGATTCTTCGCCATCAGAGGGCCAGCCAAGCAACTCCATTCTGATTGTGGAACCAATTTCACTGGAGCATGTAAAGAGCTTAAGGCCAATACGGAGAATGTTGAAGATGATTCTGTCAGGAAATACCTTTGTGACCAAGGCTGCACATGGATCTTCAATCCTCCTCACTCTTCGCATATGGGTGGAGCCTGGGAACGCATGATCGGGATTGCATTCTCGACTCCATGTTATGTGATGTCGGGTCCACACGGCTCTCTCACGAGGTCTTGACCACTCTCATGGCCGAGGTCTCAGCCATAATTAACTCAAGACCCCTGATCCCCGTCTCAACCGACCCGGAGTCACCATTCATCTTGACTCCTGCTACACTTCTTACCCAGAAGACAAACGTGCTCACAGCACCTACCGAGGAGGCCAGCACTGCAGACCTCTACAGACGTCAATGGAGACAAGTGCAGAGCTTCGCAAACACATTCTGGCGTCGCTGGAAAAACGAGTACCTTGCGACACTCCAAGTGCGCAACAAGTGGCAGTCTAACAGACCAGACAACCAAGAAGGTGACCTCGTCCTACTGAAGGACAACCAAGCCAAACGGAATAAGTGGCCAATGGGCCGCATCCTCAAGTCGATTCCAAGTGCCGATGGAAAAGTTTAAAAAGTCGAGGTTATGATTGCGAAACAAGGTGTCGCAAGAACTTTCGTCAGGCCCATAGTCGAGACAGTACTACTTCTCTCTCGCAAAGATATGGACAATTAAGTTTATCCGTTGAAGTTGTTATACATTTGTTTAAATATGAAATAAATGGTATCTCTTAGATACCAGACGGGGAGTGTTCTGCCTCACGGCAGGAGTTTTGCCTCACGGCAGATGGGGGGGGGGGGGGGGGGGGGTACTAATTTTGGTCACATGACCAGGAAGTTGCGATTTAAGATTCCCGCTCCACCACGCGGGCGTCGGCCATTACACACATAATTCAAGATGGCGGCACACATCGCGTCCCAGTGAAGCCAGCCGCAATTGTCCATTGTGGGACCTTAAAAGAAGCATTGTCTGTAAGTTCGTTTATGTTCTTATAATATTGGCAATGCTGTTATAATGTTAGAATGATCGTTATAATGATGTAAATGCCTTTATAATGCTGTTAAATTGTTATGATAAATACGAGGCCTAGTTAACAACGAAGCCTGCAACTTTCCTTATTGTGAATGTTACTTGTAATTTAATAATTCGAGTCAAACTTGTACCCAAGTAACTATATTGTGATCTGGAGAGCAAGGATGACAAAATGTCTCATTCATAGTGCAGTGTAATGTGTAGTACTGTACATCTGGGGTGCAGTGTGATGATAACACGGTGTGCCTTTATGTAACACAGTAGCTTATGCTCTTGTATAGCTATTCAGTGGTAATGTAGGTGCCTGGTCCATCCATGATCTATTGTTGAGAAACATGTTATCTAAGACAATGTTATGATGCTGTGGTGTTCATTCATTGTGTTGGTGTTTCCAGGTATTAACAGATGCTGTATCTGTGCTGTTTTCTCACCAGTTTTACCTCGTTAAAATCAATAAATGACGTTTGGAGTCGGATGTTCACTCTGGCTCTGAGGGTTTATTGGACGCGAGGTTATCTACTCAGCTAGCGGTGCAACGCAGCGCACAGCGAGGCCGAGACAAGCATGTTCTGTTGACGTGACAACCCGTACTTGTTGGCCGTGTCGGGTGGTGGCAGGTTTTACGACACAATTATATATTTACGCGATCTAACTCAAAAACCTATATTATGGACGTATTCCATGTTTGACCCTGATAGGCAAAATGTTACATGTACGCACAAAATCAGACAATTATTAATAACATTATAATTCTAAATTATCGATAGGCATATTGCCAAAATGTAATTACTGCACTGAAATGTACTTCATCATGTTATATCGTATTTACATGTTGATCTGTCGAATGAGGCCTACAACTGCAGCATTCAGATTGAGTGCATTTTATTTTTGTTGTAGAAGTTCAAGGTTCAAATCCAACAGGTATCCCTGATTCGTCCAGGAACATTAATTACAAATATGCATCGTCTGCTTAGCAGTTGATTGTAAAAAATACTATTGTGTCATTCAAAACGAGTAGGCGATTGTATACTGGCATTGTGGTTAAAATTGGGCAAATTCGAAACATTACTCACAAATTACACAACTGAGATTATGCAACAATCATCGCCCTCTACTGACAGACTCATGCCCACATGCGGGCTGGTGCAGGGCCACCTTATGCCATACAGAGACAGCTGCCACTTGGGGTGCTTGTTTAATATCGTGTAATGAAAAAAGTAAATAAAAAACATGGAATTGTATTAAATTATGCAAATTTATGATACAGTATTCACATTTATGCTAATTAGGCTCGGCTTCATTATATAGGGGTGTATTACCAATCGTGATAATACAATTAAAAGTGTGACATTTTCTAACATAACGCAAATATCTGGAATTATGTAAATGTATGCCACTATGCAAATGACTCAGCTTCATTGTCGAGGATGTATTACCAATCGTGATAATACAATAAAAAGTGTAATTTCTTAAAATTATGCAAATTATGGAATATCAATGTATGCAATGTCGAAGGTTGTATTGCCAATTGTGATAATCCAGCGATTCTCGTTTTAACTTTTACTGATTCTGTTTAAGTGTAATTCTGTCATGTCTCAGAATTCATATCTCACTGCAGAATACAGCTCTTATAATTAAGGTTATTACGCATGAACCTAGAAAGGAACTACTTAGATTATTCTATGTTAAGCAACTTTAATATCTCAAAACACTCTAATATGCGAATACACTTACGATCAGAATTGTCAACACCGTACTGCTGAAGATGTTCTACTCATTGAGCCATACAATTAACCCTCAATGGTTACGTTTGTTAACTGTGTAACAGAACAATCGGCTAACTCCTTAGAGTAGCGCGACCATACACGGCGATAGGAAAAGTCCTTAAAAATATATATTCATTCGAAACATGCAAAAGAAATGTTCCCAATGGAAAAAAGTAGACATCAATTAATTCATTATTATGCAATTAACGAAATGTCCTGAAGCAATAGTATGCATACTCGTGTGCCTGTTTGGCTAACAGATGCTTATCAATTGGCTAATGGGACATCAATGAATTTGCGGGCAAGATTCTGTGATAAAAAGAAACATCTCAACACAATAGTATTCCTGTGTGTAGATTCGTAACATAGATGCTTATTAATGTTCATCGTGTCAATTAATTAATTGCAAAATACTTCTAAACGACTGTATTAATGGAACTCAATGTACAGAACAATGCTTTTCATGATCACCTAATAGTTAACGCACCACCTTGGGATGGCAACCCTTTCGAAACCAATATAACTTTTTGAAACAATCTTAGTAGTAATATGCGCGTTGTGTGTGGGTGTGTGTTGTCTTCTTGCTAACGGTTGAGTTGGCGGCTTCCGAGGTGCAGTGTTCCTTGTACAGAAAACACCACAGGTCTCCAGCAGGGGCACTGGGTCTGCGTGTGTATCGAACACGGCTCCGTCTGCGTCGATGTGCGCGATCATCCCGTCGCCAGACACCGCTCGCAGCTCGTCCACTAGTTGCCACGCGTCACCCCCCTTGGCACCAGACACTGTTGATCCTTGTAGACTGTGGAGCGACTTGGAGAGACAGCGCCTGTCGTTTCCCCCCCACCTCTACAAGAGAGTCCTCTTCCAGTTGTCTGTACGACTCGTGCTGCACAGAGGACACGCTACAGATCAAGTTATATCGTTCCGTGTCAGTCTCTGATCCGACCCTCAACTAAACTTCACCTGTGGGTTGTTTAAAGGGGCACTTTCACAAATAGTGGTTGTGTAGAGTTGTAAATAATGACATTACGTTACACTCGCCCTCCGGTGCAGTGACGTCAGAGTGACGTCATGCACAGCGGGTGGGATGGTGACGTCATGTCCCACGGGGATATTTAGGGTGGGACCCGTGACGTGTTCCGGGTCGTTGCAGGGAGCCAGGAAAGTTGAGACCCAGGGTAGGGGGAAATTAGCGCCAGGCTAGAGTAGCCTGTGTGAGTGCTAGGAATCCCCAGTACCCTTCCCCTGGGGTGTGGAGTGTGAGTAGAGATGGGAACCTGTGCCTGCAGTGGAAACAGCCCAGCCGCCGCGGAAGGAAGGCTAGAGGGTGAGAAGCCCAACCACGTCGCCGGGCGGTGATGGCAGCGTGCCCCCGCCCGGGAGAGACGAGGGAAAGCCGTGCCGGGGCGTAGAATAATGGGAGACAGTTCCACGTGCAGGCCAGAGTTCTGACGCGCACCATAATGGGGGCAGGCGTCAATGGTGGAGTGTAGGCAGTGAGTGTGCAGTACTGACGTGTGAAGAGTGGTTAATAAACTGGCTCAAGCCCTTACATGAAGCTCCGTCTCCGTGTGGATCTACGAGTCTCCAGTGGTGTCAAGAGTAACCACACAACAGTTGCAACAGTTTTCCCTCCCAGGGTTGACTTTGATCGGAGCACAATCAGAACTATTGTCACTCTGATGTGTTGGCTGTACACAGCCACCGGGAATAGTAATTCTCCTGCACTCTTCCCCATGTTTGTATTGTAAGACTGCGAGTACCAGCCTTGGCTGGCAGCCTCTCTCAATGACACAAACATGTTTAACTCTCCGTGATGCGTGGCTTCTGCCGATACAGAGCTCCCTATCAAATTTGCCAGTCACGATAAAATCCCCGGAGCCTGCCACTCGCAGTACTGATTTCTGTTCTTGCGTTCTTGCTGTCCCCATATATTCCGTCATCTCCTGACGGGTTGGAAGTTAAACAAAAAAATGTTTACACCTCGTATAGCTTGGTACCGTACCACTTTCCAGTTTTGACTCAGCAAGCAACTCAAAGTACGTTTTGAGCAGCGTTCACAGCACTCGCGTCACGGTTTTGAATTCTCACGTGGTATTTGATATACAAGGGGTCGGTGCCTCCCTGCGTACATAATTCACTGCTACCATGTGCTGTGTTAGCTACTGGAAGACGAAGGCGGTTGGTGAGGCTCTGATCCTGTGGAATACATATCTTGGTCGTGTGTGATTGACATTTCGCATTGTATCTCTTCTGAATGACGCTAGGTGTCAGTTTAATAAATTATTTGGTTAATTCTTAACCAACATTTGTGGTATACCATAGTTGTTACCAAGGATATTCCGAGGGTTTATTAACCTTTGTTCCCCATCTGTATCGCCAAGGATTCGTGCTTCTTATTATTAAGTTATATTTATGTATACTGAGGTTGAAGATATAGCTAAGCTTCGAACTTTACTGTTGTATTTTTAAAAACCCGTCAGCTCGTAATGATTAACTGCCCTTAGGTGGATTTCGCTGTCGGGGGAGGTTCGCGACTCCTGCTGTTTCCGTCTAATATTCGTTTTGCTGTGGGTTGTTTCTTTGTTGAAGGCCTTCTCTTGAAGCTAACTGGGGATTTCCCGCAGAATATCATGAGCCCCCCTTTGGGTTTGCCGTTTATTATTACATTTTATGACTTCCCAAGTAGGCTTGTGAGTAATTATCTTCTAGCTGTCTTTTGTGTGGCAAGGGAGGAGGCAGCAGGGGAGGGGTGAGGGTGACTCATCCTTTCCCTGCCCCAGCGCTACATCCCGATCAAAATTATAACAACAAAAATATGCAGAATCATTCTTAATATACATTTTTGGAAAAGGTATATAGACAACATGCTCTTCGAGTGTTTGTGATGAGATATACAAAATTCCGAGTTGCTGAGGGGAATAACCAAGGGTAAAAAAACAATTATAAGCTAATATTATTATAACGTAGTCAATGCTTGGGAGCTTATTGGCTCTGGTGCCTGGTTAGAGCTACCCAACCCACAGGTCCGCAAATACTGACCGCTCTTACTCTGCAGGTTAAACCTAGGAATTGAGGTTCACCTTCACGTTATTTTAATTAAAGGCCTGTGACAAAGGTGAATCTATTGGAGCTTCATTGTCAAGCTTACACATCGACAGGGTCTCCATTTGACTTTGTATTGTCTAAGAAGTCCACCCACACCTCCACTTCCACAAACTGCTGGGAGTTGCCTCGCTCTGCCTCACAGTCAGAAGTCTCCTCCTGCTTCACATTGCCTCCATCGATGTGAAGGTCCAATTTTGGAGTTGCATCTTCATCTTCACATTTTATTGTCACTTCTTCGCTCTTCACCATCACTTCTTCACATTTGACCATCAATTCATCGCTCATCACTTCACATTTTACCTTCACTTCTTCGCTCCTTACCATCACTTCTTCACATTTCACCTTCGCCTCTTCAAATTTCACCTCGATACATTTTATAGTGTCCAAGCTAGAAATTACTTCTGGTTCTTTTTTCAGGAGGGATGGGCTCATTGCAGCACTTTGACTTTCACAAGTCGATTTCAGACTACACTCCTTGGGGATCTTCTGATAACTGTGTGTTCTCTGGTGTCTATGAAGATGTGGTGAATGTGAAAACGCCTTCCCGCACAGAGTGCACTTAAAGGGTTTATCTCCTGTGTGTATTCTCTGGTGTATTTTAAGATTTGATGACTCTGAAAATGCCTTCTCACACACAGTGCACTTGAAGGGTTTCTCTCCTGTGTGTGTTTTTTGGTGGCTCTGAAGAACTGATGACCGTGCAAATGCCTTCTCACACACAGTGCACTTGAAGGGTTTCTCTCCTGTATGTTTTCTCTGGTGCTTTTGAAGACTTGATGACCCTGTAAACGCCTTCCCACACACAGTGCACAGGAAGAGTTTCTCTCCTGTGTGTGTTGTCTGGTGTATTTTAAGATGATATGAACTTGAAAATGCCTTCCCACACACACTGCACTTGAAGGGTTTCTCTCCTGTGTGTGTTCTCTGGTGTTTTTTTAGATGTGATGACTCTGTAAATGCCTTCTCACACACAGTGCACTTGAAGGGTTTCTCTCCTGTGTGTGTTCTCTGGTGGCCCTGAAGAACTGATGACTGTGCAAATGCCTTCTCACACACAGTGCACTTGAACGGTTTCTCTCCTGTGTGTGTTCTCTGGTGTTTTTTAAGATTTGATGACTTTGCAAATGCCTTCTCACACACACTGCACTTGAAGGGTTTCTCTCCCGTGTGTGTTCTCTGGTGGATCTGAAGATCTGATGACTGTGCAAATGCCTTCCCGCACAGAGGGCACCTGAAGGGTTTCTCTCCCGTGTGTGTTCTCTGGTGGCTCTGAAGATCTGATGACTGTGCAAATGCTTTCCCACACACACTGCATTTGAAGGGCTTCTCTCCTGTGTGTGTTCTCTGGTGTAGTTTAAGATGTGATGAATCTGCAAATGCTTTCGAGCACAAAGTGCACCTGAAGGGGTTATCTCCCGTGTGTGTTCTATGGTGTATTGTAAGATATGATGACCGTGCAAATGCCTTTTCACACACATTGCACTTGAAAGATTTCTCTCCTGTGTGTGTTCTCTGGTGTCTTTCAAGATTTGATGACCATGCAAATGCCTTCTCACACACAGTGCACTTGAAGGGTTTCTCTCCCGTGTGTGTTCTCTGGTGGCTCTGAAGATCTGATGACTGTGCAAATGCCTTCCCGCACAGAGGGCACCTGAAGGGTTTCTCTCCTGTGTGACTTCTCTGGTCCTGTGTCAAATTCCCAGTACGATCCATGCTGTTTGCATCCTGGTCGCATTGTTTTCTTTTGGTATCGAGCTGCGCTGAGTGCCTTTGCTCCATGAGACCAATTCTGCAGAGGAAGCGTCAGCTGCAGACAGAAAAACATAGCCACACCATCTACGTCAGTATCGAGGCACAGAGGAATGAATATATACACAGCTACACATGACATACACATCTATACTTATTCATATATTCATGATATAGTTTAAAAGATTCCCCAATTCATCACACGGGCTGTTAAGGCACACAATGAGAGGGCAAATGGTCATAAATATTCCTGGATGCCCTAGTATCTTCAAAATGAATGTTTACCCAAAACTCCAAGCACACAATTTCGGCTGTCTAGCGTCAAAAGGAATATAGTAAAACCTTGGATTGCGAGCATAATTCGTTCCGGAAACGCGTTTGTAATCCAAAGCACTCGTATATCAAAGCGAATTTCCCCATAAGAAATAATGGAAACTCTGAGGATTCGTTCCACAACCCAAAAATATTTATATAAAAATGATTAATACAAAATACCTTTATATATTTCTATTATTTAAATTTTATATAAAGTAATCAAATTTATCAATTAAATGTAAACGTGGCTGGTGTGAAGGAGACAAGAGGAGAAGGGTTATTGTGTAGGACGACTTTCACTGTCACTAACGGAATCACTACCATCTGTTGGCTCACTGGAATCTTTTTCTTTTTGTGCGACTTTAAACAGGGAACCTATCCAATGACACTTGCTCTTGCCTCCTTTTGAGGATTTCGCGGAAATGTGACATTGCATTGTCATTAAACAGATTCATCACTACACTTAGACACAGAATAAAAACATGCTTTACGCACACACACGTGGTCACAACACTATAGTAAACAGTATATGCTCGCACGGATGTTGACTATACGAGTGAAGCACACCGACTGAGACCGAGCATGGGAGACGATTACCCAAAATTCCGCAGCGAGAGAGAGAGAGAAGAACCATCGGCTCAGTTGTGATCACGTGACGCTCGGCAGACAAAGCGTATACATGACTAGCGGTTAGTACCCGGCGTTGCCCGGGCGAAAAAGGCAGACACACATGTAGTTACACACGCAAATCCCTTGATACACACACATAGAGTTACACGCACGAATTGACTCACACATATATATGTAGGACTCGTACTCGGGTTGTCTTTATCGTTCCGTTTATTTGCTCTTTAAAGTCCACACCTTCTCCTCATCACCACTCCGTGTCTCCCCGTTCGCTCCGTCACGCCATCCGCCATCAACGGCGCTCTATGTCTCTCCGTTCTCTCTCCTGCTCTCCCAGAGTCCGTCACTCCGCTGCTACCCTACTCTGTATCGCTCCGATGCACTGCTACCACTGCTACCACTCACTCTACGTTCTCTTACTACCGTACTCTGTCCTATCTCTCTCCACTGCTACCGTTATCGTATCTTCTCCACTTACTCCTGCTCCTCGCTATCCCGGGCACCATCACTCCAACTCCTATCCAGACTCCAGCTCTAACCAAGACTCCCGTCTCTCTCTTGCGCTGTGCCTTCTATCCCCGTATCAATTAGTCCCTATTAATCATCTCACCCCACGCTTTACCCCTCGCCCCCAGGCCCCCAGCCTCACGTGGCCTTGTTATTCCCGCCTGAGCGACGCCAGTCATTAAGCACTCACCCTCTTAGCCAATCACCGGCCTGTGTCCTCGGTTACCCCTAACACCTGTCACCCATCTTAACGACGTCCTCCTCACGCCCGACAACAAGCTCGTCCTCAAATACCCCCTACTGTACACTGCTCGCTTGCATAGCAACAGACCCACAGAACGCGTGGCGCGGCATATTCCACATATACATAGACTGAACAACAACAACCGTCATTCGCCACTACGTGGCGGTGACGTCACAACAATGCTTGTGCCAGGCTATGTGCTGAGGCCACGTGAAGTGTCGAACGCCCGCTGGCAGGAGGTCACGGGGCAAACCTAGATGGCACAGGTCGACTGACTGAGACGACTGGCTGATGCACCACCTGTGGCCCCTACTGTAGCAACTTTCTGTGCTTTAGCCACCCGGCGCTCCGCTCGTTGTTGTGAGCGTCGCTCCTCCGCCCTCCGTTGTTGTTGGAGGGTGACTGCCTCCAACTGGCCAGTAGCGTCCTTCAGGAGCCTCCTCCACAGAGGCCGATCTTGACACGGCTGGTACCAGTTATCCGCAAGTGGACTCAGCTCCAAGTCCTCCTGTAGCACATCACTCCATGTCTTCTCCAGCCCGTGCCGCGCCCGTTTAGCCCCCTCGATCCGGCCGAACAAAAGCTGTTTAGGCATGCGGTGGCTGGCCATGCGGGCTACATGACTCAGGAAACGCAGCCTTGCCTGCCAGAGGTCACCGATGGGACTTTGTCCACATCTTTCAAGGATTTGTGAGGTCCTCACACAATGCAGCCTGGTTAAACCCAGGATGGATCGTCGGCAGGCCATCCTAAATGTTTCTAACTGGCGAGGATGTTCCATTAGGGGGGTCCAAGTTTCGCAAGCGTAGAGAAGGGAGGGAATGACCGTGGCCGAGAAGACCTGAAGCTTCGTATGGAGTGATAGACCAGGTAGCTTCCACACAGCGTTACGCAGCCAATGAAAAGATAATGCAGCTCCACTGATTCGGAGTGAGACCTTTGCTGTTAAACCGGAGCCAGTCATTAGCACACTGGCAAGGTATGGGAAACTCTCCACTGTCTCCACAACTGCCCCATCACCAATTGGGAGTTGTGGGGGTGGAGTGTCCTGTTGTATGTGTTGGGTTATGAAATTTGATAAAAATAATAAAAATTAATAATTTTCCAAAAAATGCGCAAATCGCATCAATTATGTTAATGTATGTATTAACATGCATAAATTATGATAATGTGTGTAATTATATGCATAAATTATAATCGCGGAGATAATCGTAGTAATTTATGCAGATGCTTGCGATTATGTTACTGTGATCAGTTATGATAATTAAGTTTAGTTTCGTTTATCCAGAGTTATATCAATCAGGATAACACGATTATCATTGATTAAACATTTACTGATTAGCTTAGTGTGTTTGTTATTTTAGGTCTCCAGTTTCAGATCTCATCACAGGCTACAGTTCTCAGGAATAAGACAGTTTTGCATGGACTTGGAAAGAAGCACTCGAACAGTTGGTGTTAAGCAATTTTAATTCTAAACAAACACATGACACTCTCTTATCCGAAAGCAAGTATACGTCAATAAATTCATGGGCAAGATTATGCAATTAACGAAATTGAATGACTAAAAATACTTCTTCATTGGCGAGATTATGCAGTTAACGAAAATGAATGACTAAAACATTTCTTATTCATGTAACTCGACGGCAGCAACTGCTTTGCACGATCAGTTAGTAGTGAACGCACCACCTCGAAATGGCAACCCTTTTTGAAACGCAAAGATAATTTTTTTGAAAGTCTTATTCGTGTGCGTGCTGTGTGTGCGTTGTCCCCTTGTAATATTAATTAATTCTTAGAGCCGGGAGTTGTGTCGTTAGCTTGTGTGGTGTGGGAGGATACAAACAGCGGCCAGGTGTTCCTCTCGATTGGGCGTGGCCGCCGCGAGCCCCTGCTGCTGCCCTCGCTCGGACGTGTCTCTGCTTTGCGCTCTCTCTCTCTCCACTGCTGGATGACGAGTTGGCACGACGCTCGGTGACGCCCGGTGACGTCCGAGTCGTGCTGCTCTTGCGCTCTCTCTCCCTCTACTGCTAGATGACGAGTTGGCACGACGCTCGGTGACGCCCGGTGACGTCCGAGTCGTGCTGCTCTTGCGCTCTCTCTCCCTCTACTGCTAGATGACGAGTTGGCACGACGCTCGGTGACGCCCGAGTCGTGCTGTGTTGTGGCTCTCTCCTTGATCGTTGCCAACTTCACACGGACACTCGCCCTTGCTTCAGGCTGTGTTGGCTTGTGGCTCTGGACGACGCGGCTGTGCTCACTGGGTGGTGGTCGGTCTGAGTATCAAACACACTGCGCATTCGATGGCGCTTTCTCTCTCTTGGTGGCAGCCCCCGGCTTCTCCACTGCTCGATTGATTGTTGAGTCGGCACGATGCTCGCCGTCGCTCTGGACGTCTTGTCTGTTCACACTGGTCGTTGGTCGGTGTGCCCTCAAACACACGGCGCATTCGATGGTGCTGTCCTCTTCCTCACAGCCGTTTGATCAGGCTTTCTCCACTGCTTCGCGCTCTCTGCTTTGCACGCTTGGTCGACGCTCGGCGATTTCCGCCCTTTTACAGGTTGATTGCTTGTCGTCACTCGTCACTCTCTCTTCTCCGTGCCTCCCTTGTTCGTGCAGCTGCCAGCTTCACTCGCACTTAACTTCGTTCTGCGAGAAGCGACACCTGCTATCGGCATCGGTGTTTCGTTTCCTCAAGACGCTCCGCCAGCCGGAGCACGGCTGAAACCCAGCCCCGACCCAGGTTGAACTCAGACTTCTGCGACTCGAACGACCCCTCCTCGTTCCATCTCTCCTCGAGGCACGAACTGCCCCCGCTCTCTTGCGAGCCCCGTCGCAACGCCGCGTCGCAAGACGAGTTGCGAGACTGAGCGCGACTCGGACAGACTGCTCATTCAGGCTGTCACCTTAACGATGTCTCGTCGTCCCATCTCTCCTCGAGGCACGATTTGCCCCAGCTCTCTTGCGAGCCCTGTCACAACGCTGCATCGCAAGCCGAGTTGCGAGACTGAGCACGACTCGACCCAGACTGCCTGTTGGCTAAGCGCGCTTGTGCTTAACTTAAAAACGTGACTCCCCTCTCTGCGCATTCCTTGCGAGCGGGCAACAAAACAACAGAGCGAGAAGAAGCAGACACCCCCGCGACCCCTCCTCGCGACCTTTCTTAACCCTCCAAGCATTCATGGGCCATCTGTTTGTGCTGCGGGGAGACAAAGACGGCCGTGCTTAACTCAAAAACGCGAGCACCCTCTCCTCTCTCCGCGTCTCTTGCGAGAGAAAACAAACAGAAAAAAAACAGATGTTCTCGAATGTCAGGCACCGACTCCCCCCTGTGACCTCCCTGCTCCCTCCCTGCTTGCTGGACCGTTGGA